CCACAGTTCAAAGAAAAAGATGAGAGAGTCAACAAGAATCATTGGCTTAAAATTAGGGTTCACAAACAGAATGGCTTACCTTTGGTATTTATTCTATCTAATGTCACTTTAATCACAGTTGTGGCCTCCAGGAAAGGGGGAAGAGAAGCATGAACACATTCAGTAGAAACCTAGGGGACCCTGTAGAGTCAGGATTCAGCCTGGAATGTTGTATGTATGTACAAGTATTCATTTTTGGGGTGTGTGTGGGGGGGGCATGGGGGAGTGTGGGTGGGTGGGTATCTGCCATGTGGTTCCTTAGGTGAAATCTACCTTGTTTTTTGAGACAGGATCTCTCACTGGCCTAGGATTTAGCAATTAGGCCATGCTGGCTAGTCAGTGAGTATCAAACATCCACTCATCTTTGCCTACCCAGCATGAGGATTGCAAGCACATACCACCACTTTTGGCTCTCCCTACCCCATCTCTGTCCCGATGGGTTCTAGGGATCCAACTGCGGTCCTCATTCTTTCAAGACAAGTACGAAAGAATCATCTCTCTATCCCCTATCCTATTCTTTTCAATGTTGTCATTCAAAGCCCCATTTTATACACCATTTTATAAGATGTAAACTCCAAGAGATTGATGGTTAGAGTTGAAACTGGACCCTAGGTTCTTCCATCCTTTCTTTCACACCATCCCAGAATCACTTTGGAGTTCATTCCTTTTTTCTCCCACTTGATTCAGTAAGGCGAAAAGAGAATACGCAAAGAAACATTAAAAAAAAAAAAAAAAGTCAGGAAACTGGGAGTAGAGTGATCCTGAAAAGAGGTGAAGTAATTGGCTTCTGGAGGCTGGAATTAGCAGCGGGTTTTATCTATGGCAATTAGAGAGTATAAGTGGGTAATTAAAGGCTCAACAGCTTTCTGAAATCCCCAGGCCAGACAGGACCTGGAAAGCAAGGACTAACTTCCAAGGAAAAGTCCAACAGAGACTTTTATGTGTGTATTTTAACTGTGTGTATTTTATACTCGACCTGATGGGAAGGAAATATCAAAATGAAATGTCAGCTGGAGGTTTGTGGGGGTGCAACTAGAGAGATGGTCCCGTGGTTAAGAGCACTGGCTGCTCTTCAGAGAACCCAGGTTCGAGTCTCAGCCCCACATAGTTAACAACCAACCACCAGTAACTCCAGTTCCAGAAGCTCTGACGCCCTCTTCTGGCCTCTGTGGACACTGCACTTTGTGGAGCACGACATCCACAAAACACACAAACATTAAAATAAATAAAATCTCAAAAAAAATTTTTTTAAAGATGCCATCTGTAGTCCTCTGAGTCCAATTCCAGGAACTCTGACATCCACAGCCTGGATCTTTTGTGTTGTCCCAAGAGGCTTTTGTTTTCTTGGGCCTTGAGACTTGCAAGATCTTATTTGTATGTATAAAGTGAATAGAATTTACCATGGAGCTGGAAGGAGGTTTACACCCCAACTGTAGCAAACATGCTTACTTGAAATGGGATGAGGGGTCACTCTTGTCCTGGCCCCTCCATGACCTATCTCAATTTCCCTCTTTCTCCTCTCGTCTTCCCACTCTCTGCCTCTATCCTTCCTTTCTTTCCCTTCTCCTCCCCACCCTCTCCCCTTCCCTTCCCCAGACAGAAGTAACAAACTAGATTCTTTCTCTGACCTCAAGCACTGCAGGCTTAGGCGTCCCCTCCTCTGCATCCAGGTGTCTGTTAATACTGTGCCCCTGCTGCCCCATTCCTCTCCAGAACTCACCACACCCTCCCTGCAAGGAGACAGCTCCCTCCTTCCCTACACGGCTTTGGGGGCCAGCTGTTAAGATGTGGAAAAAAATGGTGTGTGTGTGTGTGTGTGTGTGTGAGAGAGAGAGAGAGAGAG